TAGTATACCATTTTTTATGGTGCATTTAAGTAGGAATTTTCAGTACGTGACACGGAGATAGGTACACTTACCCCTATCCCATGCCAGGAATGTCCATTCAGTCTGACCTTGAGGCGATGTAACATCCGAAGAGATCAGTGATGCTCAGTGCAAACCAATAGTTTATTTTATAAAAAAATTTCTCCATCAAAGTTTACGAAATTTCGCAAGGGAAGCTTTGGCATCGTTTTCCTTCTTCTAATTTGGTCTTCTCCTACATTATGTCTCAGTCAATCCTAGTCATACCTACTTACCTTCACCCAAAGCCATAGCCCGTAAGATTGTAATTATGATCTTGTATCTCTTGCTTATAATTCAGATTGCATTTTACTTTATCATATTTTATTTTCGTTATTTACCTATCAATTAATAATTTGACCAGAATAACATAGCAAGTGATATTATATGTGGGCCTGTGCACCATTAATATTTGTATGCTGCTTTGTCGCCATTTAAAACTGTCAAGGCTACTGTACACTGTAGATCCTTAGCCTAATAAAATACCCTTACTCTTACTCTTACTCTTCCGGGTATCTCTCACTGCATCGGCGAAACGTATCCTCAAACGAGCTTCGGAGCATTCGAGAGTACACATTAAGGCGCCAGGGCGTTTTGTTTCGGGGTCAAGTAACCTTTTCATTAGAGCTCATGGGCCATCCATTGTATGTGAATACAGTGTAAGCAAGCCACTGTGGCCAAAGAGAAAAAAAGAAACATCCAAAGGAAGGTGGGTAGGAGAAAACATTGACGCGAATATTAGTGCCATGTGGAATCTCTCTTGCGCACGCGGCAAAAAAATAGAGTTTAAACCCATTCTTTTTTTTGTGGGAGGAAGGGAGGCTCGAAAAAAGTGTATAATTATACGCTTAGAGGAGGAGGATGCCGGGAGAGGAGTATATGAGGCTTGTAATTTGGATGGCGCCATTGCCTAAGTTCTCTCTACGTGGAGAAAAAAGAAAGAGAGATCCGTGCAGACTTTTGGAGACACGCAAGTGCTAATTATCAAACTGGAGCAGAGATAGATAGAGAGCCGGCCTCCTCTTTGACTTTTCAGAGGATGTTGCAGAGGAAACCTTTTGCACCGGGGCGTTACTACTTTGCTTTAACTCTTTACGGCTCTGTCGATGCTCGTTTGCGTGGTAGTGTTATGGTCACTCTTTGTTTTTGTTTTTTTTCCCGAGTCAACCTTCTTTTTCCTCGTCTTCACTCAGGTGAATCATCAAATTACTCGAGTTGAGTGTTAAGGAGGTTGACTACTTTTGGAGGGGGTACGACAGAGAGGTCCAACTTTGTACCTTTTCTAGGTTAGAAATTTGTACGCATATCCCGTAATTTAATATTGAGTTGTATTTACACTCTAGATTATTCATTAATAATTATTTTTAAAAGGACCTAATCGACGTGATTGTTTTACATCATAAAAAGGAAGATGTTAATTTACTATTGACTATGTTGACTACATTCCAAATCTGACTGTTAATTTATTAAAATTTTTTATTGTAAGAGTGGCTTTTGGCGATCTCCCATAAGAACGCACCTAAATTCACAAAATTCGTTTCATTAATTTCTCGTTTCATAAGCACCCCGAGTTGTTGAAACTTTGAATGAATTTTTTAAATACATTCTTGTAGCTCTATACAAATTGCTTAAGGTAGTCAGTCAACCTCCTTAAACTTCCACCGGAGGATTTGTTGTGACTTGGATCTTTGCTTGTAGAACGTTGCAGAATCATGTCACCTTTTGTCATAAGATCGAATTGGGGCTTTTACCTTGAATTTGGTGGTATAAATATTATCTATTAGTCTATATTTAGGAAATTGCTCTTTTCAGATCATGTTTCTAACTAGTCATTAACTTGCCACATCTATCAAACAATTCAATTCATTTATGAATTGCACTTAGAGATCTTATTTAAATACCATTTAGCCTTTTAAGGAGGTTCCAGCAGGTAGGGATACCAACCCGCATCTTGAAGCCCTAATTTGCTAAAAAAACTTTGATAGTTGGCACCACTGCCACAAGAAAAACATACTTAGGCTGGCCTACGGAAATATGATGACTCAATTAATTATAAATAGAGTATCTCAAAAATTTTTGCGGTTATCTATATTTTTTACAACGGCATTTGAGAAATGAAGTTATAACCTATACACCACGTGTGAAGGTTTATACCCGACACTTTCGGTTCAATTTGCAAATCATTAGTCTTAGTCTACCTGCCATACGCGCTCTAGTTGAAAGAGCAAGCTTTAAAGACAAAATTCTCAAGATTCTCTTCCTGATAAGGATATAAAAAAGGGTACCCTTAGATTCAGCGTAATCCAAACTATTTAATTACATATGTCTAATATGGCGACACTAGGGGCGCTGGAGCCTCCTTAAATGACACGAATATTTTAAAAGTAATGAGAAAGTGAAAAAAAAATACTCCCCATCAAGCCCTCTCCAAGAACAATAAAATTTTTGCGGATTCATGAAATGTCAACTCAATTTATTTGAGGAGGCTCCATCACGGAATGTTCAAGAACTTTGAATGACATATTATTAAAGTTCAGATCGCGCTCAATCCAATGGTATTCTTATTTGTATGAGTTGGCGATCAAAATCCGGAGATAATTCAATTCAAAGTCAGCACTTTTCAAGCTCGCTTCACACAGCTACTAAAATGAATTAAATGGAATGTAGAAGCAAAAAAAATATACGTACCGTAACCCTGACTTTCTCGTCTTTAAGAAACCGGATGACTTTATAGGCGTTGGCGATAAAAAAATTTATAAAATAGCTAAAATACTATTTTGGTCTGCAGTTACGTTTGGTGAGTGCAGTGACAAACATGATTTTTCAATTAAACTTATTTGTTGGGTAAAGCAATCATTAATATTAAATTATCCGACAGCTGACTGTATAAATATATAGTATACTATATAATAGTAGGTGGATTCAGTTGAAAATAAAACAAACTTCATTACCGACATGCTACTAGCATAAAAGGAAGCTTTCGTCTAGTGACATCGCATCAATTGTCACTGAATTGACTACCACAGTAGAATTAGAACTAGAATTAGAATTAGCTTTATTTAAGCTTTGTGGCAAACCATGTCTGGCTCTCCAAGATGAATACAAATATAAAAAATAATATTCAAGATTTACGATTCGATATAACATTTGACAATCCAATTGACTTAATAAATAACTAAAAATACACAAGTATAAAACAATTTTTGATATATTGCAGCATTTGACGAAACAATTGACTGAAAGACTAATAATACATAAACTACACAACTACATGAACAATGAAATAATCTTAGTAACAGTTTAGAAAATAATAAGATAAAAAATAAATACGCACAAAATATCGCAATCCAAAAGTTCATAAATTGAAAGTACGGTTAAAATGATAATAGCAAATATAAAACAGTTGCAAACTTATAACACTAGCAACTCTCTGCATTCTTTCATGCAAGTCATTGTAATGGCAAGTATGGTACAACTGAAAATCATCGGCATAGCCCACATGAGAACAGTGCCACAAAACAGATCATTTATAAAAATCAAGAAAAGGAGTGATCCAAGTACGCTGCCCTGAGGCACACCAGCCGAAGGGTAGAGCCAATCAAAAACCGCCTGACCATCCCGGAAGATGGCCTATGATCGCCCATAAAGATAGTTAAACACCCACGTAATACTGCCGTCGTCAAAATTCATCTCACGTAGCTTTTTCAATAGGAGTGCATGCGAAATGGTGTCGGAAGTCTTCGAAAAGTCCAAGAAAACCAGGATAGTAAGCCGACCAGAGTCAATAGCCGCTCGAACATCATTGAGAACACCGAGGATAGCGGTTTGTGTGCTTTGTCCACGGCGAAAACCAGACTGCCTCTGATCAAGAAGAGAATCTTCCTTAAGAAAACTGCTAATTTGTTCGTGTGCCAGGCGCTCAATAATCTTAGAGACTTCAGGCAATTTGGAGATAGATCTAGTATCCACCGTAGATGCCAGGAATCTAGTCTTGGCTAATGGGGTGATAAGGGCTTTTTTCCAACTAGATGGAAATGCGGAATCCTCGAAAAATTTATTGACCAATGAGGTAATTGGAGATACAATCGCCTCATAGTGATCTTAAACATACGTCACGACAAACCATCAACCCCACAGGACCCGGAGTTTGCACTAAGAAGGGCGCGCTTCATCTCGCGTGATGTAACAGGGTGAAAACTAAAAACAGGCCTAAGAGGGTCAATTGGTACGGAGAACGCGGCATGTAAGTCGACACTAGTCGGGCGCGCAGTAGCACTTGAAGTGTCAGTGTAGTGTCTTAAGTTCATTGGGCGAAAAGGTATTCAAGAGAGACGGAAGAGAAGATCCAGTAAGCCCCATCCCATGGATAGAGGCCCAAACCGCTTTCGGACTACCTGCCGTGTCAAGCACATTAGCCAAGTATTTATGTTTAGCAGTGTCTAATGCGTTACGAACTTTACGACGAAGTTGCCGATATTTTTAAAAAGTGTGGAGTAGGTGATCGAGCCTCCTTAAATAAGTGCACCAATAATTAGCTCACGATTATGATTTTGTTTGGTACTTTAATTATTTAATAAAACCTGTGCTCCCTATAATGAATAGTAAAAAAGACCGAATTCAAGAATTCTTTATAACTACTACCATATTTCATTTACGATTAATTTTCTTTATAAATTTTTTGTTCATGTGTCGATTAAACGATAAATTAAAAAGTATTTTTTAGTTTCTAAATATATAATTTACATTACAATAAGCATCTTCGATTCCCTCAACGTATCTTCAATAATGTAAAAATACTGATTTATCTTTTATATTCGTCCAACAATCTTGAAAATTGATAATCTTATCAAATCAAGATGATGTGTTAAGCACGATAGATAACGTTCAATCCTATCAATATAAAGCGACAATTGGATGGAAGATATTCAGTGAAAACACAAATCGCCACGAAAATGGAGTTATTTCTTGCTTTAGTGTTGAGCTCGTTGGCTTTAACTCAAGGTTCGGTGTTTTTCTTTGTGCAAAAAACTTTTTAGCTTATTCAAACTTTGGAAATTATTTTTGAACTAATATATTTTTTTCACTTATCAGGGCGATTTTTGGAATCCAGAATAGTTAATGGTGAAAATGCCCAGCCTGGAGAAATACCTTTTCAGGTAAATTTTTTTTTTTCATTTATCAACAAGTATCAGTCTTAGATTGGAAAAAGTTTGTAAATAAGAAATCATGAAAGAATTTCTTATGTTTTTCTATAGTTGCTGTAGAAGTACACGCAGAAAAGAATTACAGGAATTTTTACCGTAAAAGCAACGGTAATCCTGTGATAATTTGTCATTACGTAAATTTTTACCGTAGATGTTCATGAATTTTTACCGCAGTTTACAGTAATTTTTATGGTAACTGTAAAATTTATCCAAACTTCATTATAACTTTTACTGTACGGCAACGGTAAAATTTCCTCTGAAAGTGCATATAAGTAGCTATAGGCTGCAGGATCACGTGGGCTGTAGGGAGGAGCTGACCAGATGTCTACTATAGTGGGCTATATAACCGGTATGAGAGAACGAGATAGACGTAACATCTGTATCGAGTATCTTTTATGAATGGCTATAAGCGAAGGAGTACTGCATCATGTGTCCAACAATTCGTTAAGTACCAATTCTATTAATTCAAATATCTGCACAGGTCTACAATTTGTATGTTAGTCCGCGCTTTAGCAGACATCTGATCAGGTGCTCGGCCTTTCCCTCCAGCCAACGTGACCCTGCAGCCTATAGCTATATATACTCTTTCAGGGGAAATTTTACCGTTGCCGTACAGTAAAAATTATAGTGAATTTGGAATAAATTTTAGTTACCATAACAATTATTGTCAACTACGGTAAAAATTCATGAACACCTACGGTAAAAATTTACGTAATGACAAATTATCACAGGATTACCGTTGCTTTTACGGTAAAAATTCCTGTGATACTTTTCTGCGTGTAGTGTGCATAAAATATTATTTAAAATCAATGGTGGTATAATAAGACCAACCGAATTTTTTTTGTAGGTATCCTTACAAATGGGATATCATTTTTGTGGTGGATCTATACTTAATCAAAACTACGTGGTTACGGCTGCTCACTGTTTATATGGGTAATAATTATAATATAGTATCAATAAAAATAGTAAAAATCAAAACATACTGCACATAAAAACAATTAGCTAAAGTCACTCATGAAATTGAAGTGTATCATTCCAAATTTTCCGAGCGACTTGTAGTGTACTACAAGCGTGTTAACCATTGATAATACTGTTATTGATTTACAGACAAAAAGCGGAGAAAGTTACAGTTATTGTTGGTGTCGTGAGTCTTTCACAAGCAAGATTTAAGTATCAAGCCGAAAGACTTATTGTCCATGAGAACTACGACCCTCGACGAATTGTAAACGATATTGCTTTGATAAAAGTGAGTATTTTCATGGGGAAGTTTTTTAAACACTTATTATTACCTGATATAACTTCTTATTTTTTTTCTTTCTTTTTTTTTGCTTACGTTTGTTTCTAATCGAATTCTACATATCTGATACTGGATTTGCACGTTTAAATTATTTGACGAGGAACTGTAAAAAATTAATGGACTAATTTTTTAAAAGTTTTATTTCACAAAACAATGAGTACTTCATTAAATCAATAGCAAACCATAATAAAAAAGAAAATTTTCTCTTGGTAGGTTTTTGAGCCTTTTCAGTTCACTAAATTTGTACAACCAGTTCGTCTTCCCGATGCTTACTCAAAAGTAGAAACTCATAGTTTAGCTACAGTATCTGGATGGGGTAGTTTGATGTCTGTAAGTGATGATATGGTGTTTAATTTTTAAAGAACTACGAGCGTAGATAAGACTTTCTTATAATAAATGTTACATTACAGTCAGGAGGTGAAGCTCCAGATCATCTTCAAAAAGCTAACATTTTCATCGCTGATCTTGCTTACTGCAAACAAGTTATGCTCAACGTTGGAGGTTATGTTTCTGAGACTAATATATGTGCCAATGATCCAAAAATGAGGCGAGGACAATGTAACGTAAGTTATAATTTTTTCATTAATAATTATATAATGAGGAAAAAAGTTTTAAAGCTTAGGCCAAGTCGTATTGACGAACAAAACATTGGCTAGAGCTGAATAAGTGGGACTATTGACAGGTTAATCTAAAATTATAAAAAAGATAACGTTTTGCTTAACTACGTATACTTGGTGTGCTGTTATGCCTCAATGGTCAATACTTTCAAAATATGTCGATTTTTGATGATTCACTATACTATCAAATTTTAATACATGAGAAGTGGTTGCCAAGGCCTGGAAATAAGGCTATTTCAAGCCCAAAGCCGAAATAAGTCACTTTTTTTTTCATTAGTCTGTGAATTTCTAATTGTCAACATTTGACATGAGTCGTTGTTTTCTTAATGAAAACTAGCTAGATAGATCGATGAAGTATTTAATTAAAAGCGAAACGTTCGATAGAATAGCCAACTACTATAGTTTGACTTATTTTAAATGTTGTAGTTGAATGATTCAGTTTAGACTGGTAAACACTAAAAAAATGATAGATGATAATGATTAAAAAAGGATTTTTTAGATACATGCTATTTTTCAACAAATCTATCTTAAAATTAAATTTATTATAATTGACTTAACAAATTTTCCGATGAAGGATCGTTACCTTATCTGAGAATAATTAAAATTTTTAGGTGACTGGTCTAGTTACATGGAGAAGATATAAATTATTGTGTAATAAAACACTTTTCTGTTTAATTTTCAAAGAAATGCGAATCTTGATAAAAGATTAGATTTTAATTAATTGAACCATCCAAATTTAGATTGAATTGCTGATACACATCAATGTTCTGATCTTGTGAATTTTTTTCAGTCACTAGATATATGAGTTTTATTTTTATATCAGTATGTACCTCTTTCTTTTGAATTTTTAAACTAACTCCAATGATTGCATAACTAAATACAACTATCAATAAATAAAGTTCGTATTGTAGTGTAATTATTTTCTAAAGTTTTATTGGTAAACATTTCGTTGCATAAACAGACAAACTTTTGAAAGTATTGAAGATGGGCACAGAAGGTGCCTTAAATACAAAATTTAGAAGTTTACGGGCGTCTCTACTGGTATATTCATTCAAAAACATCGTTTATATTATTATGTACGTTTATATAAATATGTCCCCAATTAGTTATGGCTGTACAAATGTACATTTTGTATTTGGGGCACCTCCTTAAACCGTATTTAGTGCCTTAAAAAGGCTGTCTATGTAAAGTGAAATGCCCACCGATGAAACACTTTGAAAAATTTACACTTTAATGTAGATTTCATTTGTTGATAATTATATTGAGTTATATTATCATTTCGGCAATAGTTACGATTCAATGATTAATTTAGACATTGCAAGGCAATCACATAAAATTAATAATCCATACGGCTTGTCTGACAAAAGTACCTTATCATAGAAATGTTGGAGCGTTTAAGAGCTACTGGTCTTTGATACATTTATAAACTTAATATCTAATCAATTTAAGTAGTACATCTAATATAAATAAAACTGTTGTAATACACATGATTTTCGTGATATTGTAAAAAATAATGTTACGTTCTTTTAATTATAGGGGGATTCTGGTGGTCCTCTGACTGTCGATGGTAAGCTTACTGGTATCGTTTCCTGGTCTATCAAAGATCCATATTGTGCCAGCACCATATATCCTGGTGTGTACACGCGCGTGTCTGAATACATCAATTGGATTCACGATAATACTGTATAAACTTCATTTAACTTAAGATGATATACTTATTGTGTAATTAAAAATACGCCTTTTTTAAGAAACTAGTGTAAATGTTCATGTCGTACAATGTTTTTCATATTAATAACAATAAAAAATCGTTAGAACGAATGTGTTAGAAGTCACTGCATTATTGCATTCACAAACATTTATTTATAAATGACACATTTTCATCAATTTCTATTTAGATGCGTAAATGAAATATAATGAGCCAGTAGGTTTAAACAAACAGAATGTTTTGTTGATTTGTATTATTTCTTTGAGAGAGTTTTTTATTAGTAAGTCTAATTCATGTCAATTCAGTAAGAAAAAAATCAAATATTACTGAAGTCATGTCGACATTGTTAAAAAACTAAGGTAAATTAATAAATACATTAATGAAAAATAATTCAGTAAAGCGATATTTAACTAGGTGTATAAAATTTTTCTCAGAACTATTGACTTTGCAATATATTTTACGGTTTCATACAAAATTCACGTACAGAGCTACAATCACTTCATTTATTGACAACAACATATTAGTTCTTGTTCCTGAGAAGAGTAATTTGATATACCATTGCACTAAAAATTACTTTTAAAATGGTATTGAAAAACGTGTAAATACTTCATGAAATATCTTGTTTCTTATGTTTAATGTTAAGCCTCAAAACTTGATATTTATTTGGAAAAAATTTTAACTTCAACTGGAGAACTTAAAATGGTTAAAGTCTGTGTAAAATTTTCTGTTAAATTTTTTTTTAATATGAGATGGTTTATCAGAACAGCATAATATTTTTTATAAAAAATCTGGTAAAAATGCGTTGATCTGTATGAATTTGATGTACTTTGGTAGCATATGATGATCTTTTTTTATTCGTATTTAGCATAGGCCAAAAATTGTACGAGTAAGTTTTAATTAATATCTTTGTATTACACGATCTTTCTTGCAGTAGTTTCTTTTATTATTATGTTACTTTATAACATAAATGTTTTAAATACTTGTGGAAAAATATAACTCGATATAAAAGTTTATGTTGCAATTTCCGACACTGCTTTGTAGATCGAAAACTCAGTTGATAAAAAATGTTGTAAAAATTAATGCTAATTTCTGACCATCTAATTATTTATATCTAATCAATACATTTAACCATGCTGGTGCTCAATTTTTGAAAGGTATGAGCTTCCTTAAGTGTGCAATGTGCTTGCAGTACTTTTTACTCATTTGCATACGTGTTGGTTTACATGTTTAAAAAAGTTGTTTTTAAAACATTTATGTGTGCTTACGAAATATGTGTAGTTGAAACTATACAAATGAATGAACAAAGTTACACACATGAAAGTAAGCAAAAAGAGTCTCAGAGAGTATAAAGTGTTTTAATTAGCCATAGTTAAAAACTTGTTTTCAGTGGCATTAAGCACTACATGTATTGTGTTATGGAACGAGTTTGGATAAACATCCCTTCTTGTTGGTGGGATCGTATATACGACGCATCTCAAATCATTTTTAACTGTTTATTTAAACAGAGAATGCGGCGTTATCATACGAGAAGCACAACTTAATAATATTTTTAGTTAAAATAAATATTGTGTAAAATAAATAAGATAATTTAAATTAATTTCAATCTTCAATTTCTAAAACATTTCCTAAAAAAGTAAATACGTACTAAAAGTCATAGAAACTGAAGATTCTCAACATTTATAATGTTAAATTGACAACGAAAGTTTTGATATTGAGATTAAAATATAGTTAATAAAAACCATGTAACTTCTAAAATTTTCAAAGGTATGAAGAACTAAACAGTCCCAAAAATATCTGAATTCGGGTATTATTTAATTAGTTTTCCTTGAGTTATAGGAATAACAGATATGGACACTATCTTTTTAGTTTAGTGAGAGCTGAAATACATAATTTATAGGCCAGCTGCATAACAGGTGCTGCCCTCATTTTGCCCCTAAAGCCCATGTTAAGGTAGAAAATTCGTGGACCGAGTTAATAAAGCGAGTGAAGTGTATCATTTACTGTGGCAGTCTTATAGGTTATGGCTATACGCTTTTGTAATGAAAAACATTTAAACCTATAAACTGATTTTTATTTCGTGGCGACAAACCATAAATTGAAAGGACTAAAGTAAAGTACAAATTTTTAAGATTTAAACAGTATTTTTCATTACAAAAGTTTGATTTGTTACGTATAACTTTAAAGCTTATATTGCTGTACATTACAGCCCATGTTTAAAAGACATATTTTAAACTCAAATATCTTAAAAACTTATACCAATACATTACCTTAAAAGAATTTCTTTAAACATAAAAAAATTTAATGTACAACATATTTCAAATTCAAAAAAGTTTGATTTCTTAGTGACGATAAGTCTTATACTTTAAGGGGATTATCGTAATATTACATTTTCTGTAGAAGTTTAGAAAAAAATTATGAGAAATTTATTCTATCATGAGACATAACATATTAAAATTTCAGAGGAACTAGCTTTTCGGTTTTGAAAAAAAAGAATCATAAAGTTTTTCTGCTATACGCGGGCCCTTATGGAGAGGTCGTTGCGAGCTCACTGTCAAAGGTATTCTAATAGAACTCGTTTGATTTTCTATAGATTTTTGTAGAAAACTAATATCTTAAAGCTGACTATATTAAAAAGCATTGTCCTAAATTTCAGAAGGCCCTAAGTTTGGAGTTTATGAGATGTTGTAATGTAAAATAGCACATTTTGCCAAAAATTTGACGAAAACAAAGCAAACATGACTAGACCCGAACTGCGTATCCTCGAGTACATTCACTCATGAAAATTTATATTGAGTAAACTAACAAATAAGTTCATTTAATAACTTAACAACTGTTTTAACAACTTTATCTATTCATAGTTTTAGTTATATGAGAAAATCCACAAAAAATATCCCATTTTTGTCCCCTATTTTAATACAAAAATTTTTTAGAGGCACACCCTTAAAACCGGACTTATTTTACTCTTAATGTCAAGCACTACGAGGAAAAAAATTTGAACACGGGTTTCAGTGAAGGTGACACCCTTTTCCTGCAATGAACATGTTAAAACCGTATGTATACATATCACTTACATTTATATTGTTACGGGGTGCACAACGCGGATTGACGAGGCGGAGTCTCTCCACTTCGACCGGGCCTGTGTTACCCGGATACCCTCGTTGACACTCCCTGTAAAATATTTTGCGGGTCTCGTTCGCTGAGACACCGCTGCGGGATCAGGTATCGCGGCTACCTTGAACGTCGTCGCCTCTCGCGACGACTATAACACGACACGATGGGGGATCGGGCACACACAGAAAGGAAGTACTCACGATCAAGTTTAAAATAATAAATATATTCAGCTAAATGATATGAAAAGGAATACAAAATATTACTCGCGGGTGTGTGTGTGATTCTCGCACGTCGAGCGCGCTTGCTCGACGTGCTCGCGGCGCGAAAACGCGAACCAGGCAGACCTACGCGAGCTAATCTAGGGCCGCTGCCCTTCACAATAAACTGCCTGTTGGCAGGTACTTACGGCGATACGGGGTCGCTCCCCGACGATGCCTCTCGCAGGCCAAGTCTACACGGGAGCAGTGGAGCGGTTACGCTGAGGTCAGTAGGCGTCCCTACTGGCAGCGTTCGAAGGCCGAGATCGACGGTATCGGCCTCGGTGACCCTGAGTCCGGCGTCGTCTGCTATCCCAGCAGGACCCGGACACTCAGCACCAAACACTGTACCGGGGACAGCTCAAGCACAGCCGCCACGACAACAATCGAGGGAACGGAAACACTCCAGAGGACGTGTCTCACGTCCTCCAAAACAAAAATTCGCTTCACGCGCGTTCGCTGGCCCAAGCTAATCTGATCCCTTTTCGGCTTTTTCTTCCCTTTCCATTCTTTCCTAACTGTCCTCTCCGTTTTTCCCTTTTCCTTCTTTCCCTATCGGTCCTAGCCTACCGATCATGGCTCGACGGTATCTCACCGTCACA